CAACCCTCGGTGCTGCGCCCGCACCTCGCTCAGCCAGTGAGCGGGAACCGGTCTGTATGTGGGATCCGAACCCTCGGTGGGAGCGCCGCTGCGCTCCCAAGCGGCGCACTGTAGCAGTGCGCCACCGGGCCGGCCCAGGCACTGTTCTTTAGGCTCACTCATTTGATCTTCACAACAAACCTATAAGATAGGTATTATTTCTATTAGATCCCAGACATAAATCAAGAATACATTTTACATAGGTTATCATTTTAAGACTCTTATCTATATGATTTAATTTTAGAAACAACAGAATAATATCCAACCCTCTCTACCAGTCACATGCCATCACACTTTAGAACTGCTGGGATGCCCTCCTTTGGGTTGTTCCTTTTCATCATCCTTTCCAAGTTCAATTAAATCCAACTACTCATGTGAGAATTACCATGAAATCCCTAACACCTTAATATTGATGTGATAACATCAAGAGTTAACTATTGATTTCCTATCTTGTGCTAAGAAATTCTACATTCCTTTCTTTAAACCTGCAGATGTGTGCTTGTACAAGTTCCCAAACTTTCTCAGTTCATGGCACTATTAGTATCTTAGAAATGTTTTCATAGCACCCCTAGAACAAAAGAAATACCTAAATGCCCTATTTATTTGTTTCCTAACAATTTAGTAGACATTTGAAGAAATAATATAAATAAATTGAAAGAAAAAAATATTTTGTCATTTTTTTTTTTTTTTTGGTTTTTTTTTTTTTTTTTGTCTTTTTTCCGTGTTCGGCAACGGATCGCAACCCTCAGTGTCGCCCCCGTACCGGACCGGGGACCGGCAACGGGATTGCAACCCTCAGTGTTGCTCCCGCGCCTCGCTCAGCCAGTGAGCGGGAACCGGTCTGTATGTGGGATCCGAACCCTCGGGCGGGAGTGTCCGCCGCGCTTCCCAAGCGGCGGCAACGGATTGCAACCCTCAGTGTTGCTCCCGCGCCTCGCTCAGCCAGTGAGCGGGAACCGGTCTGTATGTGGGATCCGAACCCTCGGGCGGGAGTGTCCGCCGCGCTTCCCAAGCGGCGGCAACGGATTGCAACCCTCAGTGTTGCTCCCGCGCCTCGCTCAGCCAGTGAGCGGGAACCGGTCTGTATGTGGGATCCGAACCCTCGGGCGGGAGTGTCCGCCGCGCTTCCCAAGCGGCGGCAACGGATTGCAACCCTCAGTGTTGCTCCCGCGCCTCGCTCAGCCAGTGAGCGGGAACCGGTCTGTATGTGGGATCCGAACCCTCGGGCGGGAGTGTCCGCCGCGCTTCCCAAGCGGCGGCAACGGATTGCAACCCTCAGTGTTGCTCCCGCGCCTCGCTCAGCCAGTGAGCGGGAACCGGTCTGTATGTGGGATCCGAACCCTCGGGCGGGAGTGTCCGCCGCGCTTCCCAAGCGGCGGCAACGGATTGCAACCCTCAGTGTTGCTCCCGCGCCTCGCTCAGCCAGTGAGCGGGAACCGGTCTGTATGTGGGATCCGAACCCTCGGGCGGGAGTGTCCGCCGCGCTTCCCAAGCGGCGGCAACGGATTGCAACCCTCAGTGTTGCTCCCGCGCCTCGCTCAGCCAGTGAGCGGGAACCGGTCTGTATGTGGGATCCGAACCCTCGGGCGGGAGTGTCCGCCGCGCTTCCCAAGCGGCGGCAACGGATTGCAACCCTCAGTGTTGCTCCCGCGCCTCGCTCAGCCAGTGAGCGGGAACCGGTCTGTATGTGGGATCCGAACCCTCGGGCGGGAGTGCCCGCCGCGCTTCCCAAGCGGCGCACTATCCAGTGCGCCACCGGGCCGGCCCCTATTTTGTCATTTTTATATAACCACTGTTTACTTACTTAGGGGACATGTGCACCTATAAGGGCACTGCAAAACTTCTCACACCTTGGAATTGGAAACTGTCACCTTCATTTTCTGTTTTAGATTGGCTTTGTATTGGTGACACTTGCTTTTTATCACAGCACTAATGAAATACAGTTTTGCAAAGATGTTATTAAAGGGAATGTAGTGTGATCTAATGTTGAAATGCTAAATCACCTTGAGCCAGTAGTCATAGAGTATCCAAAAGATGTCACTGTGTTCCCCTCAATAACTTAAATATCCCATGGCAACCCTGGGGTGTCTTGACACACAGTTGGGAACTATGGAATAGTGAGAGGCAACATAGCACAGTAGTAAAGAGATAGAGTTCTGGAGTCCAATTATCTACATAGAAATTCTGATTCTACTACTTACTGTGTGATTTGGGCAAAATGCTTTACTTTCTTCATCTAAAATAGGTACATAATTTGTATCAACCTCATAAGATTATAGTGATGAATTGAGTGTTATGAGCTACAACACCAAGATGTATTAGTTAATTTTCCTATCGGGAGGACGCAATGCAGAAAAAGTCCAGAGAGAAATGCTGAGGCATCAAGTGTCGAAAACATCATTATCCTACTTGCAAATTTTACCCAAATAGGGCTGGTTGGTTAGCTCACTTGGTTTGTGGTGCTGATAACACTAAGGTCAAGGGTTTGGATTCCCATACTGGACAGGTGCCAAAAAAAAGAAATTAAAAAAAAAATTTACTGCAATACAGATATGTCCTTTGAGGCTATGCAGATTATTATGAACAACTAAATTTCTCAAGAATCTGCCCTAAAGCAAATCACCTTCTAGTCGTACCTAATCTTGTACTTCTGTCAATAATGCAGAAGCTGAGGTAAGCATCCACATGTCAAACATAATGTCAGATTGCTAATATATATTCTAGATTCAAAATCTGAGGCTTCCGGTCAAGATGGCAGAATAGATGGTCCCCAGCGTCACTCTCTCCCACAAATCAACCAATTTAAAACTACAGAAAAGCAACGACAGCCCAGCTGGCGCTGCCAGAGCTCAGGGGAAGAGGAAGAGAGACATACGGAGTGGATAACGGCAGGAGAAGCCACGATGAGAGAAAGAAAAAACCGTCTGACCATTTTGGGCCATAGCCACTTTAAGGCTAGAGCTGCTGAGCGCAGAGCAGGAACTGGCAAAAGCCGCAGCTGTGCCCTTTGGATGAAGTTGTTTGGAGGCGGCGGGAGAGAAGAGGGCCTTGGTGGCCCCCAGGCCAGCAAGACCAATAATAGAGTTCCTGTGGACCCATAGAGGAGCAAGGAGCCACAACAACTGAAAAAAAGGAGCCACTCAGAGGTCCGTGAGACATCACAAGGTACTGGCACACGGCCTGTCCCATGGGAAGTATTTGCAGTAGGGGTGGTGGGGGAGACAGGCTTGCACTGGGGCACAGCAAGG